CAGGGCTGGGAGGGGGATGTAAAGCACTGAGCATGGTGCCTCCTCAAAGCAGGCGTTCAAGAAGCAGTGGCTAGTGGTGGGGCAGCACCAGGTCCACAGTGGGAGGCAGAGAGCAGCTGCCCAGGAGGGCCTGCCCAGCGGCCGAAGGAAGCTCCAGCCTTTGGAATAAGCTCTCTTTCTTGCTTTTGCCTTTCCTTCTCCAGTTTTCTTTCTCTTCTCCCTTTCTCTTCTAGTTTCCACTCTGCAAAACATGCTTGCGCCTATACTAGTATGAAATTTTAACCAGATATTTTCTTTCCCTGCCTGGCATCTGTGCCATCTTGTGCCTTTGAACACACAGGCTTCTGCACTGACACCTGATCTGGGGTGTCCGGTGAGTGGGTGGATTCTGTATCATGTGCACCCACTGCTTACTAACTATAGCGCTGGCGCTTAATGTCTGATACCTCAGAGGAGAAAAGGCCTACCTGCTAAGAATCTTGGGGGCAAAATGCACCCTCAGGAAGAACCCCACAGAGGGTCTGCATTTCTCCTTTGTCTGTAAGAACACCATTTGCTTGTCCCGTCTTGTTGTCTCTTGTTCTATCACGTTAGGACAATAAATGACCCTGGCGTTTCCAACAGGGATGATTCTACCTGCTTCTCTCTCACTGACTAGACTGGGACCAAATGCTGCTTGATTTTATTTAAGAGCTAAAATTGGCTTCTCTTCAGGATCTACCAGAAGAGAAGAAACGTGTTTATGAGCTATGTAAAGTTATTTGTTATATTCATATTATTTATGACATATTTTAATCGATGTTACTACTGGAGTTTATAATGTGCATGTACATATGTAGGGTGTGTGTGTGTGTGTGTGTGTGTGTGTGTATGTGTGTGTATAGAACATTTAGTAACAGTTATTTCACCACAAACTACAGTAGCAACTAATTTTCTGAGACATGGATGTTTTGAAATCTGAGTTTATAATCATTACTGACAAACAGCCGTTTGAGCTTTACGGCCTATGAACATTTTACAACACACCCCTCCCTTTTTTCACTTACTTCATGGTGCTCTTACATAGTCTTGGATTTAAATTTCAAAACCCTGCCTAGAGTTGCTTGGCCTTCCTGCACAGCTGACGGTTTTACCCCAAGGTTAACAACAGAGGTCTGAGGCTTCCTTGGCACCATGCTGATTCTCCTCTCTAACGCCTTGCCTGTGTCACCGAAGCAGAGAGCGCTGAGAGGGAAGGGGAGCATCCTCTGCCTAGGAGCTGACCTAGAAGGGTGGCCAGGGGGGTCTGAGCAGCCCTCTGGGCTCCCAGACAGGCAGGAGCGTGGCAGAGGTCCCCCTCACAGAGTTCCCCCATGGAGCGTCCATGAAGCAGCTCCCTCCTGGGATTAAGCTGAAGCCAGGTGGAGGCACCTGGCTTCAGCTTCTCCCCTCTTCTCCCCTCTCAGAGGGAAGCCCCTGGAGAGGCGCCCTCCCCAGCCATCTCATCTGTGCGCTGAGCCTGTATCCCCACCAGTGGTCCTTATTACTCAGCCCCAGGCCTAAGCTTAGGCCGTTTACAGGGCTGAGTCAAAGCTGTGAGCCTATGACTAAAACAAACAAACAAAAAAAACTTCTGATTTTATGATTTGCAAACACAGCAATCCATTTACATACAGTTTTTAAAATAATATCCTTTTCTTTTTAAAATGTTTTTATCATTGTGGTGGGGTTTTTTTTGTTTGTTTGTTTTGTTTTTTGTTTTTCCTCTTAGATAAGGTGACCAAAGATTCTTTCCAAAAATCAGGACTTTTTTAAAAACACGGACACGGGACAAATTGTTAAAAATTGGGACTGTCCCGCCAAAAGCGGGACATCTGGTCACCTTGCTCTTAGAGGAAGAGAAAAGGTACAGGGAAAGAGAGAGAGACATCAATTGGGGGATTGAATCTGAGCATGTGCCCTGACCAGGAACTGAACCAGTGACCTTTTGGTGAATGGGACAGCGTACAACCAACTGGGCCACACCGGCTAGGGGTTTATATACAGTTTCACCACATCACTCTGAACTGAGAGTCATAATAAAGTGTTCAGGGTAGATTTTTTTAAAAGGAGATGTGGGTGGGAGTCTCCTATAAAGTGAAGATGGTCACCTTCTTTACCTCCCTCTACCATTTCACAGGCGTGGGGAGATTAATGAAACAACAAATATGTGACTCTGCACTGTGCCCAGCGGTCATGTATTTGCAGTTATTATTCACGAGGGGGCATTGCAGGGGCTGTCATCATTGATCCTGTGTCTAAGCCCACATGCCCCTTAACCCAAAAATCTATGCTCTTCAGTCACCCGTGGGTTTATCCAATGATGGTGATTTTTGTATCATTGATCATTTGCAAATTTCTGCAAATAACATGAATGGAAAACAACAACAAACGACCCAATGAGGAGTGACAGATTCAGGTAGAGAAGCTGGCATGTGCCCTATTGATAGCCTTGGCCTTAGCCTCCTCTTTCCTGGGTCCGTTGGCCTCAGGAGTGTCTCCCCAATCTCATGACTTTATTCTGTCTAATAAAATCCAGCCTGAGCACAGGAGTGTGCTATCCCTGCTCCAGAGCCCACCCGCTCAGGGGTTCCAGCCATTGCTCTGAAAGGGGGGAGAAAAGGAGGAATCACTCGTGTGTTTACTCACTGATCCAACAAGTAGTTCACAGGCACGAGGGGTACAACCCTAACACGATACCGTCTCTATCCTCCAGATACTTACAGGCAGGGGGTGGAGAGGTGTGAGGGGAAGCTTCCGGTCAAGAAAGGGGTGACTCCTAGGTACTTGGGTTGAGCAGTTGTATTAATGTTCCTGCCACCACTACTCAGGCTACAACACAACAGGACATGCTAGGAGTGAGGTCACGGAGTCAGAAGAGAGCTGAGCATATGAGCCAGGAGCTCGGGAGGGAGAGCGTGGTGAGAGGGGGTGAGATAGCAATTGAAGAGTTAGGCACTGAGCCAAACCGGTTTGGGCTATTTTTGTTGCTACTTCATAACTGTAATTTTGATACTGTTATGAATCATAATGTAAATATCTGTGTTTTCTGAGGTTGAGAACTGCTAGCAGGGTCACCTAAGACCATCGGAAAACACAGAAATTTACATTACGATTCATAACAGTATCAAAATTACAGTTATGAAGCAGCAACGAAAATAATTTTATGGTTGGGGGTCACCACAACATGAGGAACTGTCTTAAAGGGTCGAGGCATTAAGAAGATTGAGAACCACTGGTCTAGACCAAGATCCAGGCCTGTCGGTGTGTCCCGGTGTATACCACGTCCTCGTGTTTCCCCCTTAAACTTGTCTTTTCTAATGTAACAATGAACATCTAAGTCTTACAATGCAGAGGAGAGGGCCTAGGAACTTGCTTTCGTGGACAGAGGGGAGTGTGGACGTAAGGAGACCTCCCTGAGCCCAGCTTGAAGGGAGGGAGAGAGCCCACCATCTGGGAAGGCGGTGACCATCACTAAGGGGAGAGAGGGTGGCGGTGGGTAGTCCCTGGGACCTGCCACAGAGACAAAGGAGCTTGAGGAGCCTGCCTGGGCCTGTGGACTTCCCTGGGGGCTCAGGAGAAAGGGGTTCCTCCAATGCAGGGGAGCTGTTATGCGCAGTAATAGGATTAAATGTGAAACTGTTACAGGTGAGCTGTGACTAGCCCGTTCTTGAATCTCATAGAGCTAGTTTAGTGTGTGTGGGTTTTTTTTTTTTTTTTCCTTCTCAGCAGGTATTATGTTACTTTCACTGTTACTAAAATAGCACAAAGGAGCACTGCTACGTGTTGTCGTGTTGTCGTACCTTGTGCTGATCTTAGAGCAACACTGAACATGCTTATCCCATGCTGATCCCAACACTGCACACCAGGGAAGATTATATCTGCCATTCCTCCCTCTGTTCCTCTTCGATTCTAACAGCTCGCTGTGTTTAACCCCCATTTTGCCGGCTCTTTGCCAGAATAATCAGGAAACATAGATGGATCCCTCTGCTATAGGCAGGCAGTAGCCAGAGGTTCAGTGAGGAAGAAGAGTCCAGCTTTGCTCTCAGGGAGCCTGTGTTTTCATCAGAAGACAATAATGACGTTCAGAAATACAGAGTCAGTAAAGCACCAAACAGACCGTCAAACTACAGCGGGAAGGCTGGGGAGTGTGTGTGTGTGTGTGTGTATGTGTGTGTGTGTGTGTGTGTGTGTGTGTGTGAGTGTGTGTGTTTGGGGGGGGTAGAGGGGGAGTAAAGCAATCAACCAAAGGCTGTGTATGCATGCATATAAGCACGACCAATGGACACAAGACACTGCGGAGGGGGGGGGGGGGGGATGAGGGCATGCGACGGGGGGTAGGAGAGGCTGGGGGAAGGTCAATGGAGAAAAAAGGAGATATATGTACTACTACATGTAATACTTTAAACAATTAAAAAAAAATTTTTAAAAAGAAGGAAAAAAAAGAGAAACAAATGCTAAATGCCAAGAGCATAGATATGTTCAGTGCTAAGCCAGAGGCCTCCATAGAAATCCAGCCGAGGCAGAAACCCCTGAGGGTCAGGTCACGGGAGCTCCTTGCAGAAGGCGGGCCTCGAAGGACAGGTATTTCAAGGAGGAGAGCAGCTGAGGTCGGACCAGTCGGTGTGATGCATTTTTGTGGACTAGGAGGACCGGAGACAGCCGTCATCGGCTGAAGCAATTTCTGAGTTCCCCCAGATGGGCAGAACCCCCGCGTGCTGCAAACATCTCTAGCAGAGCATTGGGGGGGGGGAGGGGAGCGTAACAAATGACCTGCTGCTGAGACTTGCCAGCTGAACACGGAGTGATGGGAGGGGGATTGTGCGGGGAAGGCTATGGCATGTCCGTGTCTGCTCAGTCTCCTTACGTAGTCTCCTGCACACAGTAGGAGCCAACATAAGGGTAAACGTACAAGTTCCCTGCAAGTTGCATGCGTGTGATTTCTCTCCATTCTTTCCTCTTCCCTTTCCTGCTACGGCCAGACGCAGAGGAGAAATCCTTTCTCACCGTGAGTTTTGGTTGGAAGGTCAGCCTGTGACATTTGCCTTTTCAGAGACAATGTGTGCATGCCCAGATTAGGAGGGAGTATGAAATATGGGCGCAGGATGCTCACCTGGCCTCAGCATCGCAAGCCTCCAGCCCCAGCCCTAACACCTGGCTGGCACTTCGCCCGCCTGTTCTTCGGTTTCATTTATTTGCAAAAGGGAGGGGCTCATACCGCCCCGCCTGCCCCGCAGAATTCCCCGAGGTTCAGATGAAATTATGGCTGTGGGAGCACTCTGGAGACGAAAGAAGCTATTATTAGCAGCTCAAGGCGAAGATTGCATGGGGATAAGGGGTGGTGAAATTGGGAAGTCTCAATAAATCCCACCCAGTCCTGTGATTTTACACAACGGTTTTACATCATTAAGATACGTTTAATTATATAGCTTCCTTTGATGTGTCAATGACTCTCGCTCTAATGATATCTCTCTCCCTCCCTAGGTGTCCCTGAATGCAGAGCCCGGCTCCCCTCTGCAAGTCCTGGCTCAGCTCGCCTGGCCTCCTCCTCCTCGGTTGGCGGGGCTCCCAGCCACCGAGGCAGCAACGAAAGTTCTCATGCAGCATCTTCAGAGACACTCTGGCCTCCGCTCCGTGGCCATCCAGGCTTCAGAGCTGAAGCTGATTTAAACATGTGGAAAGAGCTCTGGCCGGTGTGGCTCCGTTGGTTGGAGTGTCATCCAGTACACCAAAAGGTGGTGGGTTTGATCAATCCTTATACAGGACTGATAGATGTTTCTCTCTCTCCCTCCCTCCCTCCCTCCTTCTCTCTAGGAATCAATAAAACATATCCCCAGGTGAGGATTTTTCAAAATGTGAACAGATTTTTGTAGAAATGACAAGAGGCTCCACACTTGGCTCCTCTATAGAAACGGTTGGTGGCCCTGGCTGGTGTGGCTCAGCTGGTTGGGCATCGTCCTGGGCATGGAAAGGTTGCCAGTTCAATTCTAGGTCAGGACATATATGCCCAGGTTGCAGGCTTCTTCCCTGGTAGGAGGTGTGTAGGAGGCAAGCTCTCAATATCCGGTTCTCCACATTGATGTTTCTCTCTCGTGCCCTGCCTTCTTCTCTGTCTAAAAACCAATAAAAAAGTCTTTAGAAAGAAAGAAACTGTCAGTGGTAGGTTCTTGATTGTGAAACCGAGTTCTACTGTATTTCATCAAAAGGCGTTCATGGCATAAATGTTGACATGTTCACAAACATAGATGGAAATGTGATGATAGGGGTTAATAAAGGGCCATGTGATAGTACCCTTGGTAATATCGGATGTATGAGGCAGGGACCCAGGAGGATGCACTCAGCATACTTCTGAGGCTGCGTGAGCAGTTTAATGTTCATATACAGCATCCTTTTTACCAGGGTGCCTTAATTTGCTAGGCCTTCCATAACAAAGTATCACTGTCTTAGTCTGCCCAGGCTGCTATAACAAAAATACCATAGGTGGGTGGCTTATAAACAATAGACATTTACTTTCTCACAGTCTGGAGGCTGGAAAGTCCAGGATCACAGTGTCATCAGGGTTGATTTCTTCTGAGGCCTCCCTCCGTTGCATGCAGGTGGCTGCCTTCCCACTGTGCCTCACACGTGTCCTCTCTGTGTCCCAATCCCCCCTTTATTATAAGGACGCGAATCAGATTGGATGGGGCCCACCCACATGGCCTCAGTGAGCCTTACTCACCTCTTTAAAACCCTATCTCCAAAGACAGTCACAGACTGAAATCCTAGAGGTTAGGGCTTCAGCATGGGAACTTTTCGTGGGGTGGGGGGATGGGGAGGAGGAAATGACACAGTTCACTCACAGGATTGGGCAGGATTAAGATGAGATGGGGAAGTACCTAGGAAGTAGCAACCGCAGAAGCCTTTAATCCTTTGGCCTGAAGAGGCAGATGGGAAAGGACTCGTTGTTCCTAGAACCCAGTGAGAACTGTTCCCAGGGGAGAGGCCACCCAATAGGGTGTGTGCTGTGTGGTGGGGGACATAGCCTACGGGGGCAGAGAATACTCAACTCCCCTCTCTCCCCACCCTTTGACACTCCAATTGCACTTCCCTTTGGTCAGTCTCACCTTAAACTCAACAGCAAAGATGACCCGGGGGGCACAACTCTTAGATGCCAGCTTCCGAGGCAGGTAGTGGAGCTGAGGAGTGTGGCCAGGAGGGGTTGGGAGGGAAGATGAGTGGGACAGTGAAGAATACCCAGCACAGTGAGGTAACATGGACATTTCCAAAGGTGGAATTATGATTGATAGTCAATGGATGGGCTTTAAAGAGTTATTGGAAAACACAAAATGTTATTCAGCTGTAAAAATAGTAGTCATACATTTTCAACTAAGCCATTTAAGGTCATGTAACCATTTCAAGGTCCCAGAAGTGACCATTCTAGGACACTTACTTACCCAAGTAAAGCAGAAGGATAGACAAGTGATTGTCAACCATGTAATATTGAACATTAATGTTCATCTATAATAATAAAAGCCTATAATGCTAATTAGACTGGATGTCCTTCCGGAAGACCTTCCAAATGAAGCCGTGGTGGGCGGGGGCCGAAGCAGAGGCAACCACCTCGGCAGTGGAGGCCAATCCCCTTGCATGCATTTCATGCATCAGGTCTCTAGTCCTATATAATAAAAGCCTAATATGCTAAGTGTCTGTTTGTTTGACTATTTGACAAGTTGCTATGACAAGCACTGACCACCAGGGGGCAGAGACTCTGACCATAAGTTAGCTTGCTGCTGAGGTCCGGCATGTGGGGGACTGGGCAAGATGGGCCAGACATGCCCTAGGGCCCTACCAAGTTCCCTCCCCGGCCCTGATGGTGCACCGGTGGGGTCCCTTGGTCTGGCCTTCACCCTCTCAAAATCCAGGCCTCCTCAGGAGATGTTGGAGAGCTGAAGGCCAGGCTGAGTGACCCCACCGGTGCACTATTTTGTGCACCAGGCCTCTAGTATACTATAATATGATTTTAAAAGGTTGCCTGAAATAAAAACAGCAAACAAAAAAACAAACGGTGGCCTCACATGGTGGTAGGGAATGGTGGTTTGGATGCCCAGATAATCGGTGGAGGACATAACACAACTTATTCACAATTGGTTCGTTTGTATCAACAGAGGGAGGTTCCCATGTGCCGGGGGCAGAGAAGAAAGCAAACACACCCATATTGAGACTTTGGGATCATCTCTTGGGCAAAGCAGGTGCTGTGATTTAGGATTTCCTCTTCCCGCAGCCTGAGCCCTCCTGGTTGGCTCCTAGGGACCAGGGGCAGCTGTGTAAGTGGGGGAGGGCTGTAGCTCCAGGGTTCTGCACACTTCTGATTCATAAAACCACTGTGGTTGCCTGGCTGGTAGGGCTCAGTAGTTGAATGTCAATCTCTGAACCAGGAGGTCACAGCTCCATTCCCAGTGAGGGCACATACCCAGGTTTCAAGCTTGATCCCGTAGAGGGAGTGCAGGAGGCAGCTGATGAACAATTCTCTCTTGTCATTGATGTTTCCAGTTCTCTCTCTCCCTCTCCCTTCTTCTCTGAAATCAATAAAAATATTTTTTAAGTCAATAAACTGCTGTTGGTTATTGCAGGAGCTAGCCATGCTGTGGGCAAATGTTTGAATAGGCCCGTCTGGAGAATGAGCCCAGCTTCTGGAATAGACAGGTTCTTCTGGAACAAGAACATATCCAGAGAAAGACAGACCTGCCCGGTAAGAGTGACTATCTCCTGCCTGAATCTGTATTTGGGTTATCTATTTCTGTGAAGTCACTCCCAAACTTTGCTGCTATGACAACAGTCTGTTGTTTTGCTCGTGAATCTGCAGCTTGGGAGGGCTCTTGGGGAGAGCCTGTCTCCAACCCACACAGCATCCTGTCTCCTCCCCTCCGAGGGCTGGAAGACCCATTTCCATGACGACGGGACAGGGACAGGCCTGGAGACCTGGTGCTGACGGCCCACTGGGGGCTCAGCCAGGGCTTCGCCCTCTCCGGGCAGGAATTCTCCCAGCATGGGCTAGGTTCTAAGGGTGAGCAGCTCAAGAAACAACCAGAGGGAGTCCAAACCACCTGATTTGTCTTGGTCTTGGAAGTCTCACCGTGTCTCTCATCACCCGCCTGAGACCACAGAGGCTTTTCCAACAGAGGGGCATCCTCTCAGGGGAGGTACAGGTTTTGGTGTGTCTTCTTTTAAGGACACTAATCCTATCAGGGTGGGGTTCAGGCCTCCACCCTTATCACTTCATTTAGCCTTGGTTACTTCCTTCGAGGCTCTGTCTCCAAATATAGCCACTCTAGGGGTTAAGACTTCAACGTATAAATATTCAGTCCTTAACATCCCTATGGTGATGTGAATGAGACAACAATCGATAAAGATAAATTTATATTGATATTAATTCAAGAAAACTGTATTGAACATCTACTTACTGTGTGTCAGACTCTAATCTAGGCTCTGGGGGTATAGGTAGAAGAAAAAAAACTGTTCCTGCCTTTTTAAATTTTTATTAATTTTTATTTTTTATTGATTTTTTTACAGAGAGAAAGAGAGAGGGATAGAGAGTTAGAAACATTGATGAGAGAGAATCATCGATCAACTGCCTCTTGCACACCCCCTACTGGGGATGTGCCCAGAACAAAGGTACATGCCCTTGACCGGAATCGAACCTGGGACCTTTCAGTCCGCAAGCTGATGCTCTATCCAGTGAGTCAAACTGGTTTAGGCTGTTCCTGGCTTTTTTTAAATATATATTTTTATTGATTTTCCACAGAGAAAAAGGGAGAGGGATAGAGAGTTAGAAACATCGATCAGCTGCCTTCTGCACACACCCCCACAGGGGATGTGCCCGAAACCGAGGTACATGCCCTTGACTGGAATCAAACCTGGGACCCTTCAGTCCACAGGCTGATGCTCTATCCACTGAGCCAAACCGGCTAGGGCTGTTCCTGCCTTTAGTGAGTTTATGAGTATTAGGAAGACAGAGCAGCCAGGAGACACAGGGACAGCTGTACGGAGAGCCTGCTATGACAGATCCCAGAGGGACAAATCCACTACTCCACGGGGAGGGGCACAAGCTATGTCCAAGCGGAGATGAAGGCCCAGTCATATGGAGTGGGGAACAGGAGGTGGAGAGACAAGGGGAGATATTTTGGGGAGAAGAATATGATATGCAAAGACCCAAGGACAAAACTGGGGTGACCACCATCCTGGTTTCCCAGGACTGTCCCGGTTTAACATTCAAAGCCCCACACCCAGGGGAGGCCTTAGGTAAATACCGGTGTCGCTGGAGCAGAGGAAGCTGGGAACGTAGGGAGAAACCCCAGGAGCCAAGCCATGCTAAGAGGCTAAGACTGTATCTTGGAGGCAGTTGAGCAATCCGTAGGATCTTACCTAGGGAAGTGACTCACGAAGAATTGTATTTAGAAAGATCTCCATCTGCTGGTTAATTAAGAAGAGCCAGTTAGGAAGCCATGGCAGGTTTCC